TTTACGTGAGAGCGGCTTGTATCCTCGCTAATCTTCCCTAATTTGTTCGATTATTGTGCAGTTAAAGATTAAGTTAAGGCGTCTTTTAAATGCTTGCGTTCGCTTCATCTACAACCTCCGCAGAGACGAACATATCTCACCGTACTATGCTAAATTAGGGTGGCTCACTGCTAATGGCAGAAGAGACTATTTAGTTTGTTGTTTCCTTTTCTCGATTCTTAAATCTCTGGCTCTCCATCATATCTCACTGAAAATGTGACTTTCCCGTGTTTCCCACCTTGCCCTCGTCACCCCTCCCTGTAGAACCTCCTCTTACCAACGCTCCTTCCTCTCTGCTGCCTCCACACTTTGGAGGCACAACTCTCTCTCTCCCTATTCCTATTCGAGAATCAGAGGCACTCTGTACCTTCAGACGTGAGCTCTTCTGCTATCTGCAGCGACGTGAGAGGGTACTGCCATAGGAATATACACCGACATTTCATGAAATTTTACGAGTGTGTATTCATGTATGCGTGTGTGTGCGAATATGGTGTGTGCGCATATGTATGTATCATTAAATCTTTCTATAAGTGTCATCATTGCTTATCAATAATTTTCGTCTATAGTACACTTTTCTATTGCTTGTCGGACATTGTACCGGTCTGTCATCGATGCCTATTGTTACTGATTTATTTGTACTTTTACTGTTAAAATACTTTTAAAACACTGTATGTTTACAGAATTATTTGGTTACTCTATGCTAAATTTAAATTCTATGTTACTCTATGTTAACTTAGCTACACTATATATTCTTAGAGGGCTTGCCCTAGAATATCAATAAACGCTTTCTCTCTCTCTCTCTCTCTCTCTCTCTCTCTCTCTCCTCATTTCTTTATATCTGTGAGACTGTTTGTTGATGTCATTAGGATTCTAGAATAATTGGCAGCGATTGTCGAACTGACCGAGTTGAAATCGAGAAGAAAGATGCGACAGAGCACATATACCATATACCTAGCTATAAAATATGCTTCGTCATGACGATTCTTTTTTTCCCCTGCCCCATCTCGAATCGTCACGTGTCTCTCGCCTAGCCCTAGCTTAACCTATGTCTCGTATTACGCATCCGTTACGCTACCTAACGTTATCATTGTGTTGCGTGGGCGCCCTTACGTAAACAATCGACGTATTTGCGCTCGTGTGACTAGGAAAAACACGAGAGATAGAACGTTACGATGATATTCAATGACAACACACTCTCGAGTCTCATACATACATAAATATTATAGTACCTATGTACTTGTATATTATAGAGTTACAGACGTACGTACTACGTACATTCGTATATAGTTCCAACGCCAATAAAAAATTGTTTACGTTCAAGATACGTAAGATACGTTCGTTGAATCCTAGATTCGCAAATGCGTCTCACTAGCTTACATTTCTTGAGCATTAATCGCCAAGATTAATCGCCTACTCGAATAAATCGACACAAGCAAGTGTTTTTTTTTTGTCGAAGAAAACTTGGAAAACGTTCAGCCTATACATGGGTTTCTTTCGGGATTCAGTAATAGTCTTTCCTTCCTGGCTACGCGCAATGTAAATACAATGCAACTTTCCAAGAAATATATATAACGAAGAAATAACCAAAGCAGGCCTTTCGTCTATATATATTCGTATATATAGCTTCATCATCTAGCTTATACTATCACGGACAAATACCATATGTGATTTTAACGATCAATATTTAATTCCAAACGATTCGGCGGATGTATGTTTTGCGTCATATACACAAATTTTGCGTACGTATACACAAATCCTTATTGCGAGTTCTCATTCTAAACGGCTTCTATCGCCGACATGGATAAAAACCGTTGTTCACAAGTATACAAGAATTTCTTTTTCACAATACATAAGTGTCTAAGCTGTGTTCCAAAGTGGATTGCGTTATTTATAATTTTCAATATTAGCAATTAATTTTGGAAAACAGCCCAATTCTCTCTCACACGCTCTACTCGCAGCGTACGTGATTATTCGATAACTCTCATTCTTATCGAAACGAACCGGAAATATAGTAGGTCATATCTATATATTACTGCGCCGTATCCTTCTTTATCTTTATACTGTAGATGCGTCTCGTGCGGACGCATCTAATGCTTCGTAAGATATTGTTCATCTATATCTTGAACACGCATTGGTGAATTGGAATGTATAAAATAAAGGAAGGAGCTGTAGCGATCTCGTTTGGTAGACAAACTGCGTAGTCTCTACCATAGTTTTTCTTTCCGGAAGCGAAATGACGCAATTTGGATCTTGGGCTGGTCATACAGCTGCCACAGGCTGGTCACGTACGCCTCGAGTTTCACACCCTCCTCATCCTAAAGCCCAATGTCCACGATAAAGAAAAAATTAACAAAATATGACCATTGCGATTGGCCAATTCTTTCTTCATCCGAGGTCTCGGACCTATTTCTACCATCGTGGACAAAAGGCTTAAGGAATGCTCCCTTCTTTGCTCCAATCGATTGCGAGAATATCTACTTGCGCGTCTTACAATTAATTAAGCGATGAAGAAACAATCTGTTGCAGTTACCTGGAGAGAAAAGTAGTAAACAGACTTGCGCGTAAAATAAATTCGAGCGACGAGATGAAAAATAATCGCTAAACTAATCACTTTGGGGTTGACATTTTATATTTCTCCCGCAATCTCTACGGCCACCTGTGTATATAACACCATATATATATATATGTAGGAATATCGACGCACGCTATTCAAGTACTATACTTGTTGTTATACTTGATTACCATCTCCTTCGATCTCGTCGCGCAGCGACTATATAGCTTCTAGCTTCAAAACTTATTATTTATTATGATATATATATATATATATCATGTTGCATATACTCATTGCATTATGTACGGTACGCTACGCACTATAAGCTTGCAAGGAATTATGAGGGTGCATGAAATTGGATGATTTATATGCGCCGTACACACGCCGTTATATGATTGCCGAAAATGTACCTTTACATGCGACACGTACGCCGCGCCGCGTCGGATTGATGATGCGATGCGTCGCATCACGTCGACTATGAGGTGATGCCGACGTAAGCGGTCAACTGTCCTGCCATTGGCCGAGAAACCGACAGGCCTTCGTCGAGCCTCTATATACATTCTCTGACTCACGCGTATGTACGTACATACATCCATCCATCAAGTACAAGCGCGGTATAATGTGTTATCAATCCAACCGAGATGGCAAGAAGAGGGACTAAAGAGCGTTTTGTTTGGAGGAGCCTTTCTTATTCAGTCGAGCATCAAGTCGAGTGTATTACGTATATAATACGTGCTAACGTACTAACGTACGGTACGCCGTTTACGGCAATCACACGGCGCTGCATCGATGCAGCGTGACTGAGAAATTGATGGAAATTGAGGATTGCCTGTGCAATCCTCGATGGCTCGCGATCTATAGATCTCGAACGGCACGTCCGAGAGCGTGACCTATGACGAATACGTACTCTACCGTCGATTGGTTAAATTAAAAGAATATAGGGAAAATTGTCAATGCGCGCGCGCGATGAAGAAATTTGTTTGTGCTTTACAAAGCTGGGCTTGAGTTCATTACTACTGAAAAATATCTTAATAACGGGACTTGAATTGTTTCAATGTCAAAGAGTGGAAACGTTCTAAAGACTTAAAATAAGCAGGTTTCATTATATCGAGTTATTTCTAGAAAAATTTATTAGTACGCCGTACGCGCGCGCGTACTAATATGAAACTTGAAACTGTTATACGTAAACAGAGCGGCTCGCTTATTTGAATTTCGTTTATCTAAGCGATAACGCGTGTATTTTAATACGCATTAAAAATCTCATCGTTGTATATTGTTTATTCTAGATTCCCACGTTTTTCATCCACAAGCTTTGCTACGTATTATCTGACAGTTTATCAAGTGATATTACATCAGACGCGCGGTCTAATATAGTAAGCGTAAGGCATAAGGGGAAAGAAAGCGCGCATTTTAGAAACGCGCCGCGCGAGACTCTTGAGAGTCTTGACTCGACGGCGCAGATGTTTGAATCTTCCTCACCTTCCCCCTCCTTTCTTCCTCTCTCACTTTCTCACTCCCTCGAGCTGTGGTCAATTACATATTTTTATTATTAGTGTTGAACGAATCTTGATCGTTTACGCTGTACATTTCCTAAAAGTGAGAGAAATATACCCAAAACTATATATATAATAAATAATATAAGTAACGATGAGAGATGAAACTTTTGATCGGCAAAGTGGCAAGAGGATCGAACAAATACCTAGTTGAAATGGTATACGTTATTATAATATTACTACTAATCGAAGGCGTTTATAATGAAATGATTATATCGTGTGTGATAGTATGGAGACGATCGGAAAGAACGATTGGCAATAAGTGTGTAAAGTTTGCAAAGTGTGTAAGTTAATAGATGTTGGCATCTAAAGAGCAGGCCGGCAGCGTCGGCAGCGTGAAAGAGATCGCAGGTGATCTCTTTCAGACAGGCAGACAGATCGACGCGCGCGCGCGCGCGCGTGCCGCAGCCAGAAAACACCTCGTTTTCCCCGTCTCAACCATCAATCCCGTCATTCAGGCACACGTGCTCCACGTACGTGCACGCGCGTACGTGCACCCACGGTATCTATCGATCTTGCTAATTGCGAGGAATAAAAATAACAACTAATTGTGAGACTAGCGACGAAAGATCCATCTACGCATTCGTCGCTATTGTTATCACATATATATATTACTGTTGTTGTTAGTTGTTGCTAGTCCACTACTTGGACTACTACTACTATTATTGTTATTACAATTATTAACGTCTAAGCGTAGTTTCCCTCTCTTCTTTTCTCTCGTTATTAGTCTCCCTCTCCGCTCTCTTCCTCTCTTTCCTTGTTTCTCTCTCTGCCTAAATCTTTTTCCCCTCCCTCGGCTAGCCCAGCCTATATAAACCCCTGGTGACTCGAAAGCATCTTCACTCTATACGCGAGAAGACAGTCTATGTATAAAGTTCCGAAGACGCGTATATAACTCGGTCACTGAAAGAGAGAGAGCGCGCGGGCGCGTGTATCCTGAATACCTATATACTCCCTACTGTGTGGGGTTGGTACTCATCTCGAAAAGTGGGAAAAGAGAAGCTAAAAGATCGAAAAAGAGCTAGCATCCCCGACGCCTGATCTCATCTTTTTGGGTTTGGGCTTTAATTAACATCGTCGCACTATACGAGTTAACATCCCCGCTTGAGAAACTTGTCTGCAGTTCTCCGAGTTTTTCTCTCTCTCTCTCTCTCTCGGAGGCGTACGTGTCCGTTTCATTTCGCGCCGCTTGATCACGCTGCCGCTCGCAGTGTGCTGTGTACGCTCACGTATCGAACGCGCGCGTGCAATTCGCCAACGTGCAATTTCAATTCTGATTCCGACTGATCGACGCTACGACGCGACGCGACGCGACCGCATGAGGATCGAAGACGAGCACGGACAAAGATATATTTTGCAGCCGGTAATATAATATACCTAGATTAATTCGGAAGGCAAGCTTGCGATCGTCTCTCCGAGAGTCTCGACACGTACGTTGCCTTATACGTAGGTACAAATGGAAATGCAGTCGAATCCATCGCGCGCGAAAGCGAAAACCAGTCATCACAACGTCAGAATATTCCTCGTCGTCACCCTCGCCGTTACATTATGCTACCCAGCTCTCATCGATACGGCGGCGGTGGTCCGTTCCGAGGTAAGATATTATACTTACGTATTATGCATTAGTCAAGGAAAAGAATGTGTGTGTGTGTGTGTGTGTGTGTGTGAATGATAATTAAATCTGGCGGATATATCCAGCTTGCTATAGCTGCTACAATTACTATTCAATGATGAGAGAGAGAGAACAAATTGCAAATTTTTGGCAAAGAAAAAGTGATCCGATCAGGGAGTCGTTGAAACGGCGGATAATTAATTAGTCGTATTGTGGTCATGATTCGCGCCTTTCTACGGAAAACAAATCGAATAAGAGGGAAACAAAGTTTAAGCGAGGATCTTTTTCTCGCGAAATCTCGAGAGAGATCGTAGAGTTTCTTCCTCTTTACACCCTCATCAGCGCGCACACCTCATGCAAGTATCTATGTATACACACCTAATGGCTGTGATGTACATACACATTGTAATCGCGCAACGTATTTTTATTATTATTATTATTAGGATGCATTTCGTAAATACAGACGCATGTAATGGAATTGAACGAATTAATCGATTTCAGAGTACGCTACAAGATTGATCGAACGGTACGTAAGCCGATGTGATTTCATTTTTACTCTGATGCAGTTATCAGATTCTATTCTGTTATTTACAACAGAATAGAATCGTGTGTGTGTGCGCGCGCGCGTGTGCAGTACGTACGTACATTATCGACACGCAGACTCACTGGCGGTTCGAGTAGTTTCATTCATGAATCGAACCTATCGAGTCACGACTCACGACCTCGAGAATGCCATGCTTGTCTTCTTTCGCCATGCGACAACCACTCGCTATTTGATAAATTTTAAATTTTAAATTTTAAATTTTAAATTGAATCGAATGGTATAGGCTATTCTCGTTGTGACTTTACAATCGTTCCAAATCCCATAATAGCTACGAGTGCATCGCAGAGCGTCAGAGGAAATCGCAATGAGATCATATGACCAATTCCTGAAAAGATGCAAAGTCTAGCAATTTAATTATAGACGACTATATATATATGTATATGGAGCACAATTCTCTCGTTCATTTTATAATTTTATAATTACCTAGGAGAGAGAGAGAGAGAGAGAGAGAGAGAACTCTGTCTTCACTCGCATGTTTGTTTGTTGCTTATCAAATTAACATTGCATTGTTATTCGCAATTGCGCGATTGTATTAATGTTCCTATTCTTTCCAGTAAACGCAATGTGTACGTTCATATCATTTGACTTTGAAACGTGCGTTACGTGATCGAAAACCATGTTAATTGTGTGCGTGTATGTACGATATAATATTATATATCTATGGTGTATGCGTGTGTGCAAAATTTTTCCTAATTACTCGGCCGCATCGAAAGAGAAATAACGATGAAAGATTTTAGAACAAGACGATATATATAAAGTAACATCGCACGAGGCAGTATCACACTTGACACGAGAGGGGCTATCGAGTCCGCTTGTATAGATATAAGCGTGGTAGATATTAGCGACTCTTCATTCAAGGAATGACGTTTGCCTATTATTTACTGTCTTGAGCGGTTAACGTCACTGCAGCAACGTGCGTCACTCTGCAGCATCTTTCTCCTCTCTTTCTTCTTCTCGCTCCTGCGCGGTTCGCGTCAGTTTCCGTTGCCAGAAATGCACGAGATTTCGCAATATCCAAACGCGCTACTAGGCTCTTAACGCAAAATTGATCAAAGTCGTCGCGTCGCGTCGGGAGTACAATTTTTTTTTTCTATTTTACGACATATAATTTCCTTTGGAATTAACTTACGCGTCACGTAAAAATTTTTATACAATTGCAATATTGTTGCAACAATCAACTACAAATATAGATACATGTATGTTTGTACGCGCGCGTATACGTACATATATATATATATATATATATGTACATACACGTATTATAGCATATACCAACTATATGCGATTGATAACTCTTGAGCTACAAGAATATTATTGTTACTGAATAAAAAGAAAAGAATGTGACTTTTTCCATCTTTTGACATTTTTGCGAGTGTTTAGGAATTTACGAAAATTATATAAGAAGACTATTTGAGATGTTTGAATTGGAATGAGAAAACAGTATGAGAAAAATACCTGATATATATTTATTAAAAATTGTCATCAAAGAGAATTAAAGTGACAGTCAGTCAAAAAGTAATAACGCGCGGTAGTTATATATGATGCATATCTGATGGTCGATCACAAGTCTAGGGGCTCACAATTAATAACTGAATCGTCAAGTTAATTGTACGCCCTACGTTGAATAAATTGTTAAACTAACTTATTGTTGCACTAAACAAGAACGTACGAAACGATGCGATGATATGTATATTTGTATATGCGACCAATACGTTAGAGATTACAACTACAATTAGAGACGAGGTTATTCTCGAGATGCTAGCAACTTTGGAATTTGTACGGAACTTTTATTCACATAAAAGCTAAGCGATACACACACATATATATATATATATATATATTTAATTGAAAATTAACGCTTTCCGTATACATGCGCGCGTTAAGAAAAGTAGAAAATGATCAAGTCAAATAATGTAAATATTGTGTGTTTCTAATAATAATAATTATACAACAGAGTTTGACGTGTTTAATTACAGAAACAGTTGCAGCGGGTACTGTTACGAGACTTAACAAACGTCAGGATTCCACGAGCTACAGAAGATAGCGACGAGGAAAACGCACCGAGACGAATTTGTCATAATGCCCCCTGTGGATGGGTGGTCTACAACCCTTATACGCGTAACATTGAGTATTTCATGAGAAACACGTGAGTGTTACTACTATAGTACTACATGCATATTTTTTCTATTACTATATACGATATTAACTATATGATAGTGTTAAAAGCATTCCGATACGCGCATCTCCTCTCGAGAACAGATTTAGAGATGAATTTAATTTATGTAAAAATAACCATCTTTTAAATAAGAGAAAATATTTTGTAGTAAAGAGAAAATTAATGTTACACTGAAAAAAAATATAGTCAATTTTAATAAATATTTAGTTGAATACTGCCAACTAAATATTTATTAAATATAAAGATATATTTATTTGATACAAGAAATGTTAATTTGATTTAACAATCTTTTTTTTTACTGAACAAATATTTATTTACTGTAAGTAAATGTTTAGTCGGCGTTATTGAACTAAATATTTGTTAAAATTGACTATATTTTTTTCTCAGTGTACGTAGGCGTGTATAAGAAGGAAGATTGCGCGAAGCGAATTATTTACAATTTCTCTCTATCTCTGTAATAATTTCTTCTCACTTGATTTGTACAGTTGTGAATGCCCGGATGAGAGTTACAAGTGCGTGCGCGTTGGAGACGATCTCTCCGCGAGTGCGTACGTCTACCGTTGCCGCCAAAATACGACAGCGGAGGACATTGAGTCTCCCTCTCTCGATGACACCCTCTGAGACGAGGTCGGCATCTCATTACTTCGCCATCGGTACCTTATACTTATACCACTTATGTCACGCCAAATCTGCAGTTACCGCCATCGTCGTCGTGATGGTTTTCACGATTCGTCTGAATGACTCCAGCTCTTCGAGTTTCCGATAATACATCTTTACCGTACATTTTCAATGAAAAAGTGACCTGCACCGCACCATTTGTTTTGTTACAAAGAAGATTGTGATCGAACGATTGTTACTCGCGATCGTGCTAAAGTGATCCTTATTATACATATATATATTATATATGTATAATGTCAGAAATTGGAATGATTACAGGTATAAACGGCGCACTACCACCAGGCGCGACAGTCTGGCCATGCGATAGTGAATTCCCTTCCAATTGTCGGCTGGATTAACAATTTTACAATCAGGAATAAACTTTTAATACGATACGTATGTGCATATATATATGCATACATATGTATGTAAAAAATGTTACATGTTATTGTTAGAATTTTTGATACATGATTAAATTTTCCAATTCTTGGAAATTCGCGCACTTGGTCGACGCTTGTCGCGTATACGATTGAAAACCTAACGAATAGCAGCAATTAAAAATCAATTAATTCATATCGAGCCATGTGGTTTATATACGTATATTTTTAATATCTTTATATCTCTTAACTTTACTTTTGTTTACATTATTGCAATGTATAATGTATTTCAACTTTCATACTCATATGTGTATATCGATTCAAACTCGTCTTTCAGAATCGATTTGCGTGTAAAACATATATGCCACACCAACAATCTTAAAAATTCTCGCTTACTTTTGGTTTACTCCCAACATGTAAAATTGTTAAATTGTTTATATTATTACATTCAGCCAAAAATCAGTTACTCAGCCATTTGGTCAACAGACAAATTTCGATCCTCATATTTGATTTGGCAGAAAGTGTAAAATCGAATCCATTAATTTGATATATTTATTAAATGCGTTAAAAAGCTATAAAATGATATGGATGAATACGGGCCTTTGACAACATTCGCGATAGCACTTTTCTTACATTTTCTTACCTTTCTTTGTACTTAACCAAATATCAAAAAATAATTCTCTTTTCATATAATAGTTGTAGTAGTAATAGTAGTAGTGGTAGTAGTAGTAGTGGTAGTAGTAGTAGCAGCAGCAGCAGCAGCAGCAGCAGCAGCAGCAGCAGCAGTAGTATCGTAGCGATAATAATAATAATTTGATAATATATTATTTATAAGAGAAAACTTATCACGGTCGCTTTATCTGCTACTTGACAATCGTGCAAGTGTTGATATATAAATACAAATATGATTGCAAGTTATTTTATCCGTGACCTTTAGCTTTAATCGCACGGGCAAAGTTGTCGAGCTACAAAACCGTGAACAAAGCAGATCGTAAGCCGAATGTAGCATCGTATCGTACAATCCTTGAAGCACAATAAGGAGTGAAAATGAATGTGAATCAAATTATACAACGTATAATTTGATTCACATTCATTTTTTAAATCTTTTAAATAAGAGAAAATATTCTCTTATTGATGACTGTGTACGTAATGACAAATTTTACATGTAAAATGACATTACCGTTTTTAGATGAGATTTGATCCACACATTTGGACATAATTCTCTTGAAAGCTATTTTACCGACACACACACACACACACACACACACACATGATATCTTTACGGATATTTTATAGATAACGTCAGCGTGAAAACATTCAATTCGAGATTCAAAGCATGCTATAAAGTAAATTTCTCTACAGTATCGGTACGTTTAGGTCTCAATCTCGACACGCAGCCGAGGCCTCACAGTTTTTTTTTAATCCGGCTACAACTTTAATCAATGGCATTGTAATTAGTGCCAAGTAAACGTGCCTAACAATAAGAAATAGATCAAGTATTTCAGTTTGTTGTATTCATACGCAGTATTTCACTTGTTATGTAACATACAGGAAATGTAAGTTATCTATTATTACGATTAAATATTGATATATCATTGTATAACTATTAATATAATATTGTCTAATTTTATTATTTTTAATATAATAAAATAAAGTTGCAAGACTTTTTGCGACTTTTCATTTTGCATAACATATCATTATCTCTCCTCAATATCATATCGCGTATTCTTGCAAAAATAATGCCTGAGAAACAATGAAAAGCACAGTCAAGTGCAAATAATTTTTTACTGTTTATTTATTACGGGGCAGAGGACGCGGGGCGCACGAGGACGACACCGCAAGCTCTTGTGGACGCAAATTCCATCGACGCGATCTCAGGCTTAAATCGGTTCATCGATTTTGCAAACAAAATCATGTTCAAACGGATATTTTGAAAAAAAGTTACGATACAAATATATATGAGGAAGAGCAAGTCAAGTTGTACATATATGTGTATACGGATAGTTATGGAAAAAATTATCGACTAAAGTAAAACGATAGCTTTTCACTATTTAGTTTATTAATAATTTGTGTGCAAAATATATATCAACATTAAATTATTATTTCGAGTAGTAAAATTGCCTGTACATTTTTATTTTTCATACACATATTTAAAAAAATTAGCAATTTTTTTGTAAAATACAGTAATATATAGTCAGGAGTCATCAGTTATCAGGAAGACCACACTTTTCGTTTCATTCTCGTCTTCTCTCTCTCTCTCTCTCTCTCTCTCTCATCTATCTATCTCTCATTTGGTGTTGAGATATTAATTGACCGGATAGAAAAATAATGTACAAAGAAAGAAAAAAATAAATGGCGATATATTTGATTTAAATTTGTTGACAATTTATACAAAATACAAAAAAACGGGTGCGTTATGGCTATCCATGACATTTTAATTTAAAGCAAAAATTATTGAAAACTGATTGTATCATGAAACGTCTCCAAATAAATTGTCAATTTATCTTGGATTGAACATTTCACCATTTATTTTATATTCACCCTACTTTATTTTATTCATTCTCTCTCTTATTTTCTACTTTTCCTCTTGTTTGTCCTCCCTTCTCTCTGCTTCCTTTCTATTTACTTCGCTTGTGAGGAAATGCTTCAATAAATATACAACCACAGTGTCGTATTATGAAAATTACGGTATGTATAATATATATTACGACTTACATTATATTATATTATAATTAAATATTTATCTTATATCCTTTTTGGCTATCTTATCCCCTAAGTTTTTCATCGACGATATAATATACATATAATTACCATACAGATGTGTTCCGAGAGTTGACAAAAATATGACAAATAAACGAGACAAGTATCGCATTCTTTATTAATTTATTAATTGTTGATCGTTTATCACGGCATTCGTGTAACGGACGTGATCATTTTGTTCCCAAATATGAACCACGCACGAACTTTTCTTGAATCTTGTTTTACTAAAAAGAAACAAACTATGTGGCGATTGACGTAATTAGGAGCAAGTTCATTAACGTCCACTTATGTACATACAATAATGTACTACTTCATTGACGATTGTTATCACATTTCAATTTGCAAGTCATACACTAGATTTAAGAATGTGCTGTAAAATATATACTATTGAGAAATCGCATTTTATATTACATTGATAATTATACGCTACAAAATAGACATAACAACAACTAGGCATATACGATCGTGCGTGGTGTGCGCGCGTGTGGAGGTCAATGACTTTCCGGCTAATTTTTCATACCGCATAAACTTCCAGCACGCTCGGTTCTATCGCACTCTGTCCAGGAACATTACCGTTTTTACATCTTTAAGATAATTCTACGTTACAAAGCCTGGAAGGCAAACAGAAACGTAAACTCTAAAGCTTTCCTTATACATGTTTATACATGTATGCGTATGTACATATATATATTGTGCGTGTATACATGAAAAAAATATATATATGTGTATATATACATACATACATATATATACCCATATGCAGATGTATATATGTACATGCTTGAAAATATATGTCTAATTATAAATATTTATATATATAGATGCATATATATATTTATTTCATTAAAGACACAAACGTTGGAAATGTCAACTGAAATAATTTTTTATTCTCTTGTGTAAAGAGTTTATTATACAGTTGACATTTCTAATTGGATCTCAAACGAAATAAGCATCTATATGTGTATATGTACATACTTGCTAAAATATCGAAAGTAACACCAAGCGCAAGCCGTATTCAAATGTACAAATGTAAAATGTATTAAATTCCGGTCGCGCGTAGTACACTAATATTGATATTGTAAAATAAACACGATTTATCGAGTGAGTGTTATAATCTTATAAGAAAATAAAACGCGATACAGGTAGTGGGAGAGGCTGGCAAAAATTGACTAATTATGAATTCAGTGCGATTTAAGTATTAAATCACTCGTAACAGTATATTATTATACATCGTTGTATATGTGTGTATGTAATATAGGCCTATGTACCTCTGTATAGCCAAGAATAAAACTCTGTGTGCGAACATATAATATAATATGATATGATATAGCATATAACACATGGACGGCCATTGACCATTTATTCTCTTTAATATTTTTGGAATCAAATTTAATTTATAGTTGAAACTTTCTTTGAATATCGAGAGTATTGTCTGTACCTGCCTAAGAGATATATATATATATATATATATATATATATATATGTATATAATATATTCATTACTTTGTACAAAACTAAACTCGTATTTCAAGAATTTCTGCTTCGAGTTTTATTAATCATACCGACTGAACGGGCAAAGAATAATTTTCGCCGAGAGAAAAAAAAAGGACTAATTATAGCGAATGTAGTGATATTGAGAAATTTTTAACGACGGTAAGAAATTCCGTCGAATTGGATTAGACGCAAGTCTCTGTCAACAAATCAGATTGCAAACGTTCTACTCGAAAACGATTGTATTGCCGGTAGGGAGAACGTGTCTGATCGTTGTCCGTTATCACTCGTGTCCTGTGAGGAATCAAATTCTCGTATCGTCCCATCAACCAATCTTGACACAACCGATGTTGAATATCTGTGCCATTTTTGGATATCCATAACGAATGCCAATGATGGAACTTGGAATCCTTACGCTTCGTTACAGCTGGATGACACTGTCACAAATCAAAATATTTTACAATTATCTTCTTTTTTCTTTTAGTGAGATGGAGCTATGAGATATAGCAAAAGATGTGAGAATTAATATCAGAACAAGACAGACTATACACAACGTTTGGTGTAAAGGTGCCAAGCATTCAAATAATTGTAAACATACCCGTCTAGCACGGTTCATGGAGTTTTGTTTGTAAAGAAATCTGTCCTTATGGACAATGAAAAGCATGGTATAACTGTTGGGATTAAATCTACATTGTGTTTCGTCGGAATTGATCATGTCTGGAGTGTCGCTTGATCTGCAACAAATTTACAATATTGTTACTTAATTATATGTACAAATAAAGTTAATTATATAAATTTATATGCCGAATTACATACCGACGTATCGAATGTACTTACTCTGCGACTTTATCCGGATGATTAGCATTAAGCGAAGATGTTTTCCCTCTCATTAATCTTGCGGCATGCTTTCGATATGATTTAATATTACGACAGAGAAATGTGGGTTTACGTCCTGCTGAGGATCTGCCTGAGGAACCCCAAGTATTTCCGTCAATCTACAACAATCATGATATATCATCATTTGTAAGAGTATTTTTACAGCTGCGAACAACTGAATATATATGAAATAAACTAAGAGAACCTTAAAGACATTATTTTTAAGTGATTTATAAAAAATTATCATAAAGGTCGAATTCTATAGCCACACAACACGCTCGTGGATAAAACGGAGTACTATAATCGATAAATGTGTGAAAATAATTTTGTAATCAGTAAGGCGGAAAACCCGTTTTGTGTGTCCGTCCAAAATGTACGTATATCGAATCTTTTCTCATGTTTCAATACATTCTATGTACGGTCAGAATGAAATAAATGTGAATAAAGTGGCATATATTTCTTAAAGGTATAAAGTGAAATTTAATATAAATAATCTTAAAAATATTAAACAAATTTTGAAAAATGCAACAAATGCGAATAGTATTTAGAAAAATAAATAAATTATTTCTACACCAACACACACTCTCTCTCTCTCTCTCTCTCTCATAATGAGAGATTAATAGACTAAACGCATGTGTTGAATGATAAGCTTGTTCCGATTATTAGAAATTCAATCTTATATTTGTTGTGCGCGTTGAATCGTGCAAACGAAAGAAAAAAAAATACAAAAAGGAATCATATATACGTATAACTTTCAGCACTCTGATTACTGTTTCGTTACATTTTCCTATTTCATATAGCGACATATTATGTAATACTTGATAAAAAATAAATCAAGAGACTCTACTTTAAATATTGATTATATCGTATGTAACATTGAAATTTTTATTATTAAAAAATAATGTGATAGACTTGAGACATCTTTATTTATTAATATTTGCTTATTTTGTTGTATACGAAGGAATAAGTGAGTGAACGAAGAATGGAAAGAGGGCAAGGGGAAGGAGAGGGGAGGGGGGAGAGGGAGGGGGAGAGAGAGGCATGCGCGCAAATAAAATATAAAATTTATAAAAATTATTCTGTCGCTTTAAACTTAGTAGTATTAATTGGTAGCTCTATCTATAAATTGAAAACAAAAGGAATTCCAACATGTGACGACTTTGTCAAAATAAGAAAACCAATAAGAGGACTGTTTTAATTCTTATGGAAAATTTTGATATTTTAGCAACGATATTAATGTAAATTGTGTGAATATATACATCGTAGAAAAGAGATATGTTACTCTCAATAATCGGCATTTATTACGTGACGTAATATTCGAAAACTCTACAAAAAAGAAAGTAAAAGAAAATAGATTAAATAATCTTTAAGTAACTTTTAATTTGCAATAAGATTAAGAAAAAGTTGAAGAGACAATCTTTAAGAGATTGCCTTTGAATTTTCCAATTGTAGCATTTTCAAACTTTTTAGAAATAAAGTTTATACCAGACACGTCAAAACTCGGTATATAAAGAAATAAATATATTTTAAAGAAGTAATAAATTTTTAGTGGTGTATAAAAAAATGATGTCAGACAATAATATTTAAAATCGTACATGTATTTCAATATCTCTCTTCTATACAATATTATTATCTTTTACTATATATGCATATTCCTTTTATATACACAATACAATTACATACATATATATAAACATATATAAGACACTGCCTTTTCATCAAATATGTATGTAATATGTGCGAGAGAAAGATAGGTCTTTCTCTCTCTCTCTTTCTCTCTCTACTCCGTGATATACGTATATACATACATACATATATACATATGTATGTGCGCGCATATGTGTGTATATATACGTGCGTCATGTCTTCAAAAAAAATCGTGTGTTAAAAACTTGAATAGCCGCAATAGCTATATTTCCGTCTTCTTGTCGTTTATTTGTTCTCATCATGAGCTAGTGTTTAGTCGGAGAAGAATAGGTATCGATAATAAATATCGATCGTAGGGAGGAGTAAACTCTGTGTGTGTGTGTGTGTGTGTGTGTGTGTGTGTGTGTGTGTGTGTGTGTG